AAACTGTGGAATTTAAGTGTAAAAATGGGAGCAAACATCCTTGGCTTGTTGGGAGTTAGGGGGTTGCCTCGTGGTCCCGGTGCCTCTGCGTGGCTGCGGCGCAGACGATTGTCACTCGCACAAAGGTTGGGCTGTAAAATCCCAACATCCCAAGAGCTTTTCCGCTTGGAGAGAGCCCAAGCAGCCAGCAGCACCCTCAGCCCATTGCAAAGGAGAGCGATTCCTCCGAAACAAAACACCTGCAAATACAAGCGCTGCAGTCGCTCTATTATTTTTTTAACTTGCTGTAATTCAGAAATGTATCCACTTAAGGTGATGTTTAGAGACCCTGGCTTCAAGATTACTGCCAAGTTTATCCCGGCTTTTATTGCACCCTCCTGTTCCCCCTGGGCAGAGCGGTGACCCTGGGCCCCTTGCCGGGGGCCCCCGCTGCCCCTGGGGAGCCTCCACATCCCGGAGCGGCGGCTCCCCTCTCCCGGGGAGGCGGATGACACATGTCCTGCCGCGCGCCGGCCCCTCTCCAAGGACAGCGCACAAGTGCGCAGGCAAGTGGGCAACACCTCCCCCGGGAGAGCCTGCTGCCTCCGAATAAACTTGAGTTATGGATTTATTCAGCTTGTAAAACCTCAGCTGGCGTAAATAATTGAGAAAGCAAAGGTTTGTCTGCGGTGCCTACCTCTGGGACCCGCTCCTGCCTCCCTCCCTCCCACCACCTTTTCTTATGAAAATGATCCCAGTTGCACTGATAGATAATAACAACACCAAGCAATTAAAAGCTATGGGTGGCTGGAGAGAGGAGAAAAGGTTCAGTTAATGAGCTTTTCCTCTTCCTGGGCCCAGGAGAGCCTCAGAAGTGACGAGGCGATTAAAGCGAAGAGATAATTATAGATTATGTGAAAATGGGTCCCTTGGGGGCCGGGGGCCTGGACTTAAACAGTAACTGTTGCGAGTGTCTCCTGGCTCCGGTGCCCGTGCCAGGCGCGCGGGCGAAGCCACCTGTTTGCAGCAGCGCGCGGGACGTCCCCCACGCGCCACCCGGCCGGGCTGCTCCCCTCCCACCGGGACAGGAGGCTGCAGCGGGAGGGAGGAATAGGGGAATAGGGCAGGAGGGGAGGATGCTGCTGGGGAAGCCCTGGCCAAGACCTTGGACCTCAGGTCTTTTCCGTGCCTCTTCCTGACGGGCTCTTTGGCTGGTGAGACAGCGAGTAGGCGTCCCGTGTAGCAGGTGGGATGGAAGTAGGGCCCCGACAGCAGCTCTTTCCATGTGAGCCATTCAGAAACATCAGCTTCACACCAGGATCCTTTGGATAGCTTCCAAAGGAGCCTCGTGAAACCTTCCAAAATTGCATAAGGTTTCAGTGATGACTTGGTTTAAGTTCTTCCGCATCCCTTATTTAGGGACTGAAAAAGCCCTGCGTGCCCTACCTAGGCTTATTTTTCTCTGTCAAATGTTTAGAATGGCTGGGAGATATATTTTTTTTAAAAATCCCAACTTTTTTTTTTTAATCAGGAAGCTGAGATTTCCCCAAACCTTATCTCGTGCTTCTGTGGCGTGCAGACATGCCCCTTCTCCAGCTGGCTGCCACTGCCGGGCAGCAAATACAGCCTGAACCCAAGGTTATGGCACAGAAACCCACCCAGAAATAACTGTGATTTTTTTTTTAACTTCTCTAGCAAGGAGAGACTAGATTCTGCTTTGGTGTTGGAGAAGAAGGAACGATCTGAACTAAGGGAAGAGCATCTGGGATTGCATGAAGGAAGAAAAAGCTGTTGGGAACTGGGTGTTTGGCAGCCTAGGCAGAGCAGTAGCAGTGCTCTAAGCAGTGCTGTTCAGCAGCCAAGAGGTTGGGCTAACACAGCAGGACTGGAGGGATCTCCTGGTGTATGGAAGTGCTCCGTGCTGGTGCGGGTAGGCATGGCTTATAACTTGGGTCAGGAATTTATGGGGCGCCGCTTCACGTGATTTGGGCTTTTGCCCTTCCTGGTCCCACAGAATGCAAAGAATTCCCCCGGGCTTCACACAGTCGCACTTAGAGCACGCGGTGATTTGCTTCCCGGGGCTGATGTGCAGTGTACAGGCGAGACCCCAGATGAGTGGGCAGCAGGAAGGTGCTGCTCGCAGGGAGAGGGACATCCGAGGAAGTGACTTCTTCAGAGAAGGTAGCACTTTCTACTGCAGGAGCTCAATAGCACATTTTATTTACTCATTTTTGTAGCTTTTACTGCTGCTTAGATAAGAGAAAATCATGTGAGATCTGAGGAATAAAACACAAACCTTGCACTTGGCCTTGTTGAATTGATTCTTTGATTCTATGAAAAGAAAGTTAAACTTCCTTTACAGACTCTGGATGCAAGAGGGGGACATGCTTATGGGGGACATCTTCATTTTTGTTGAGAGTGCAAGTCCAAAAACATCACTTTCTCCTTGTAACTCTTTGCCCACTGATGCAAAACAGTATCTGGGTTTTGCTTTTCCTTGTTTTTGCTTTTCAGCTGGCATACCGGCATGCAAGGTAGGAGAGCTGTACTCAGCCACACTGCAGTAATCAACGTCCCCTCTAACTCGGGCATCTGTGAAGTCCTTGTGCTCTGCCTGATGTTTGGCCACGGGATTTAGTTTTCATTTCTTGCCAGCCTACAAGCAACCCCTTTGCACTGCTTTTTGGCCTGGGGGGTTTAAGACGAAGCCTGGCTGTGCTCCCAGTTCGGAGCAGCAGGCTGGAATACGCAGAGGGAGCAGCGTGTGCCAGGATGGCAGCGTGTGCTCGTTCAGGGCCTGCTGTGCAGACACGTGTGAGAGGTCTGGACAGTATGGAGAAGGTGAATAAAGAATAATTATTCACCAAGGAGTACCCCAAAATACCAGGCAGCTGCTTTAAAACCATTAAAAGAAATTATTTGCTTGCTCTTCTGCCCTGTGCACACACAATACTAAGCTGTAGAGCTCCCCCTTCCAAGAGGTGAAGAGCATAAATGCATTGAAGAGCAGCAGGAGTGGAGAAAAAGACCTGAAAAAGGCGGGGAAATGTGACTGGATGCAGCTGCTGACTATAGAAATCCTTAAGCCACCGAGGTTCGGAGCTGGGTTTAATCCAGGGCCAGACTGCTTTGCCCAGGTCGTGTTTCTCCTCGTCCTCTAAGCCTCCTTAGTGGCCGCTGTCTCCGTGGATGGATCTGGAGGCGTTTTGCTGTGACCCAGAGTGGCTGCTCTTCTGAGTCTGTCTGTGTCGCAGGGACAAGAAAAACTTTAGCCATTTGTCTTCTCTGGGGTTGCAGTGATTTAGGCCAGGGCTAAACCTGTTCCTTGTTGGCTAACTTTGTGCAATCCTTATGGTAGTTTGCAAGAGCAAGCAGACTTTGGGCCTAGTATAATATTGTTTAAAACAACTGTTGATTCCTAGGGAGCAGAATCTTCTGTCTCTGGGAGGGAACAAAAGAGTATTCTGCAAGAAAAGAAATGTTTTACTCTAGCAATACCATTGAATTGGATGTATCTGTAGCTAAGCGAGGGCATATGATGTGGCCTTTGTGCTATGCAATAAGAACATTTCTCTTTCTCTTGTTTCCTGAATAGGGAGGAGGATAAGAACATTTTTGATTACTGCAGAGAAAACAACATTGACCACGTGACCAAAGCCATTCGATCAAAAAATGTGGATGTGAACATCGCCGATGAGGAGGTATGGAGAAAAAGATCAAACCCATCAATCTTGATTGTTTTGTGTGTTCACAACCCCGGGCCTTTTTGGAATGGTTAGTTTAGGTTTGGTGAAACCAGGTACTACAGTAACTGGAGAAGCGCTTGACCACATTGAGACAAGCAAAATCTGTTTTAAAGCAGCAGTAACTTTCCCTGGGCTCTCTAGCGCTGGGGGTGTACAAAGCAGGATGCCAAGGCACATCAGAAAATCTTCTATGTTACTTTAGCAACACCAGCAGCAGCTTGC